TATACGTTTGAGCGCGGATTGTGCCGTGCCGACCACCTGCATCTCCTCTCATCTCTGACCTTCTTAACTCTCTCTTTTGACATTAGGTACGGGCAAGTATGGGACAAGAGAATATGATAAATGCAGTGGAAATCTGCTTTCACTTATAATTAATTCACGCGCCTGCTTTCAACCTGTTTTGAAGCACATGGTGGACATCTTCGAAGTTAACGGTTAAACTGTCAAAATCGTATACCTTTTGCGCATCGCTGATAAATCTGCTGATAGTAGACTACTGACCTAATCTTTAAACATCCTAAGAATCCTCAAGTTAATAAGTCTTTAACGAAACGAACTGTTTCGTTGCCTTACGTGAACTATTCGTAAAGGACGCAGCTTCCCAGAGGCTAATTATAAGAAATATGGTCTTCACTTACTTTTTCTAGGCTATACCAATGATATTTTGTGATCGCAAGAAATCAATAAAATAAGAATGACTATTTTTGTGGCCACATTTCCGAGCATAATTTGCATTAATGACTAGGAAGATTTCTACATAAAAGCCGACGATCTACTTTGTATTACTTAAATATGAGCTATGTCCATTTTCAATCAATATTATAATTGCCCCTAAGTATTTTCTTAAATTCACATACTCATGAGTTTCTGCGTATAACGTGCCTGCAACCTTATTGCCTTCAAGTTGTTTACAGTCAATAAGTATTAAAAAAACAAACGAATAAAACTCAAAATTATGCTTTTCACGACTAGTTACGCACACTGACTACTTAATATTTGCCATATTTGAGTGCCGTCGTATACTACGAATTTGGGAGCAAGCGTCGTGATGTACGGCGGCAACAGTCAGGCACAAAGACGAGAAAGGGGATAAGGCATTTCCGGAGGAAATTATAGAAGCCACACCCTCAAGTTATGGCGCCCTCTTTCCAATTAATTATTTATGTATTAAATTGTACAATGTGCGACCAAGAAGTTGCCATTCTGGACACATGAGCTATTTCAATAGTAAGGTTTGCGTAGCCTCACAATTCCTAAGATACGGGATGTGAATGCATTTGAAAGAGGTGGATAGTCTGTGTAGAATTCCATTCGGTAAATTTGGACTTAATTCGCAAAAAGTGCACGAAGAAAATTGGTACTCTGTTTTATCAAAGGAAACCTATTTAATTAAAATGCTTTCAGATTGGTTACATTTTGCATAACAAAGACTTTCTATTTGGTAATCAAAAATTAAATCTCCTGAGCGATCGCGGCAGAATTTTGCCTTAGAAGCTCCAAGCCAACAAACGTATTTATTTTCAGTGAAAAGTATAACAAAATATGAAAACGAATCTTGTTAAAAATCTGGGTTTTGCCATTGAGATCATCCTTAAGAAACTGAACCACAGGGACCGCAGCTATACGGAGGAAGAAATCAGAAAAGGACATGTCAGAAGGTTAAGCGTCATCCACTTCTGGCGATAACCAGTCACAAGCACCCACAAACTGTTATCGGCCAATCAACTGATTAAGCGGCCATTGAACCGCTCTCATATGACGTTTATTGATTCACGCCCACACTTTAGTTTAACTTTCTGTTTTACACGCGTCCGACCCCGCCCCCGGTCATCTTGACACCCGGCACAGGCGAGTGAAGGAAGAGAGAAAGCGATAGATGCATCAAAAGTCTACTAACGCTTCAAACTAACGCACATGCAAGTCACTGCGTTTGATTACATCGTCGGATTCGAAGGTCGATCTGTCGTAGCTTTCTGTTACCACTTATCCCGCCATTGCCGCATAAAAGGCGTAAACTCACTGACAGCCGAATCTGTGGTAGTGAAATTATGTGAGGCCAAATGATTCAGCTCTTTGGTTTAGTTATAGCTCTAGAGATATTTTGAATATTCATTGGATACAGGAAGCTTTCAAAGAGAGTCGAAATGTTTAAAATCCCTGTTAAATGACATGGAATATAATGCACTGTGTAACCAACTGTGAGTCAATGGTTAGAGCGCTGGAGTTCCGATTAAATAGTCATAGATTTGAGCATCGGGTGGAGCATCATTTGGGGTTGGGTGTTATCGACTGATGACGGCTAGTGAGCGAGAACTGGCCATGCCAAATTCTCCAGTCGTTGCCGGCAATTTTCACGGACCTAAATTACTAGCTGTTTCGTGTCTGCAATCAGGGTTAGTGAGCGAGCCTCAAGGCAGAGCTGGGCGAGGGAGATCTGTAAGCGATCGGTGAAAGTTAATCAACGAATGGTCTATACAGTTTATAAAATATGCTTGTCATGGTCTTCCATTAATCTGTTTGCGTTTTCCCGGACAGGTTCAGTTCTGCAAGGCTCCTGTGAAATTGGATCCTCATACAGAGGCTCATGGCGTCTGCTGGAACCGCCAACCGATAATCTCGGGGATCACATGTCGAAAGCCAACCAGTTCAATGTCTATAGCAAAAAGGAATTCAAAATAATGACGATTGGTGAAAGAACTGTCGGCTTCAGAAATATTCTCGCTGAAAACTCCTTTTATGAATTCTCCTGTCTGAGAGATGCCAGTGAAATCCTCCCTGACTGGTTCATTCTCGGTGGAAAGTCGCTTCAACCAGGCTGGTACGTGGAGACAACCTAGTTTTCACTCTTATATTATGAAGAGGTGTATAATTAATTCCTGCAGCGTACTGTCTTTTAACTTAAATTTTATAATGATCCACAAAGAGATCACGTCGGCAAATTTGATGGGCCTGGAAAAGTGCACTAGATCTTTTTCCCTGGGCTCAGGTTCGCCATCACTCACGCGGAACGGTCAAGGTTCTTGATAGAAGCGAACAGGCGACTTCTAGGAAGCAGTTCAGGAAAAGACGGCATGTTCGCTGGAAAATGGCGGCTATTGACCTGATATTTCAAAGTCGCACCCGAAATCATCGCCAGAGGCAGCCACAGATGAGGGCACCGGGGATGCAGTATTTATAGGACGCAATTGCAGTACATCCACATGTCTACTTCAATAAGCAGATCCCACATTCATCGCTGGTGATCGTACATGGCACGATGATTGCTCCTTAGTTCTTATCCGATTCGTTGCCCGTCAAACTTTCATCACTTGTATCGATCCTTATCGGGATGCTGATTCGGCAGTGTGGCTCCTTGACATTCGTTGATTAACGTTCACCGGTCTCTAACGGAACTCACCCCTCCCACTTTGCCTTGGGGTTCATTCTCCAGCCCCGCTAGTAGCTTACAGGGGCTAGAGAGATTAGATGAACCATTTCAGGCTAATTAGCCGCCATCAGCCAGTCATACCCAACGCCAAGTGGTACCTCACACGAAGCTAGAGCGTTAGACTTCTGATCAAAAGGTCGCGGATTCAAGCCTCAGGTCTGGCACCATTTGGAGATCGTTTCAATCTACTTTGTTCTCATATCTATAGTTTTATATAAATATTAAACTCGGATTGCAATTATCTTTCTCTTCGGTGCAGCAGAAACTTTTTATTTTCTATGGTTTCCGATAAAAGTAACTAGTAGACGATATAGGGAAAGCCAACTAACAGAAAATGTCCAGAAGAAGACTATTCGATCGTTGAAACATTAAGTTCATTAGCCTGGTGTACCGGATTATCGTACTTATTCACCATCAGAAACAGTCACGGATACGGGGTGATAATGGAACCGGGAACGCAGTTTTCATATGTCGCAATTGCAATACTAAGCTAATCCATGTAGCAGATCCCACATTCATCGCTGGCGATCGTACATGATGCGGTGATCCCTCGGTAGTCCGCGTCCGATTTGTAAATATTCGAAAATTCATCAACATTCTAGATTCCTGGCGTGATGATGACTCAGCAGTGTGGGCCGCTGTCACAGGAACCTTCGGCTGCCCTTATTCTTCCACGTGGCTGGTTACTCTGCATAGATAATACCTCAGCACAGAATATGAAGCTGCGTGGTCACTGCACTTAGTAATCAACCGCGAGCCAGAAAACCAAGACTCGAGCATAATCGTACTACCGTCCACTTAAACAAATTTCACACAATGGAGTTTGCAAAAAACCATCAAAATAAGACCTTCTTGCTTTACTTGAATATGGACCGAAGTTTATCGCTCTCTCCACTTTGGGTAAGTTATAACCACAGTTGCCATGGGCGGAAGTCGATAACACAACCACACAGGGCTTATCACCAGCCTCGGAACCGGTCCCCCCGCCAGAGACGGACAAGTCCCTAATTCAACCGAGCGCACCTTATCGCCTATCTTGACCGCCGGTCCGCCTAGACACTGACATTTTGGCCTCGATCCTCCCCCCCCATCCGGCCGTTACAACAACATCACATCGTTCCACCAACCAGCAGAGTTTATTTATTTAATTACCATATAAATGTACAGGCTTGAAGAGAATTTATCGAAAGTAAAAGTATGCTCACCAAGTTCTCTTTTGGTAAGTTATAACCGCTTCTAAGAATTAACAAGTTGTGTCTGCTTTGCTCATTTTCTGCTGACGAAGGCTGTCGAAGAGCGCAGCATATTTTAGTTTCTTTTGAACATCAAATAAGTATCAATGCACTGAGTCGGCCGCTTTAGGCTTCTGACGCATTAGTGTACCAGGATAAAATGCATACTCTTGTGAAGTTTATCGCGGAAGGTGAGCTTAATGGGGGAAATCATTGCCACTGCAATCTTCAGACCCGGTTCTGTGTGGATAGAAGAGCACCGAGGCGCCAGATGGGGGAACAGTGTATTCCGTACAAAAGTAATGGAGAATAGGTTAAAGGAACTGTGCACCAATTTGTTTCGCCCACTACTATATAGTCCCGATCACAAACCGACAACACGGCGGACCCGTGGCTCAATGGTCAGAGAGTTCGCCTCTGGCCGGAGAGACGCGAGTTCGAAAGTCGGGTGTGGTGGCAATTTCCGCTGCTACATTGGAGTGGAGGTTACACCACCTGATGACGCCTAATGAGGCAGAAAAGGCCTTTGTGGATGTCCCCTGTGTCGGTAATACATAATGCGTCTGCACCCGAGAGGCCCACGTCCAAGACGTGTGGGCGTGGCATCCGTCACATGCGGTCCTGTGGGAGTCAGCCTTGAAGATGATTGGCTATATCGGATTGGGGTAGACAGGCAGGGGTGCATGTGCACTTGCTAGCATTCCCGAGTGCCCGTGCACTCGATGTTGTGTCAATACAAGCGCACTTGCCTTGGCAATACACCTGGCCTTGAGTCCTGCTGTACGTAATGGAGTATAATGAGTTAAAGAAAATGTTGCATCCGTGGATGGAGTGCAGTGTCCATACAAACATCGAAATGTAAGAACATCGTTTCCGATGTAAACGTGTTTGTTCTAGGAGTGCAAACCTCAGTGCCCTCTATTTACTCAATACTGTTGGTTTATTTACGAATCTATTAACATGAATCTATTGGTTTGCGTGTGAACTATTTGTTTGCCTATAGAAAGGCTTTTTAATTTTTTCTATGATTTTATACTAGTTAAGTACTAAACCTTGTGTTCAGCAGTCGGAGTGTACTGCTTAATGATCTGTATTCCATTGCAGCCACCCAAGGGCCGTTTGCTTGGAGATCTATCAAAGCCGATCAATGTTTAGCAATGAGGGGCCCAACACCAACACGCTTCAATACAGAATATGTAATACAACGCATTAATATTTAAAATACTTCGCATTTTAGTCGAGTTTTGTTGTGTGAGACATCGGTGGCAAAGCTTAAAAATGCATTTGTATTTTGCTGAGGATGTTTTTGATTTAGTAACAGGGGAGGTGTTCTATGCACTTCAGCTAGACATATTGTTGCTACATCCTTGACAATGTTAATTTAACAGTATTATTCGTCAAAAAATCTTGAAAAGCAATGCAAACCAATGTTATTCCACACTTCGGTTTTATACATGGTCACAAGAATTAACAAATCTGCCAACATAAACGACTTAGTATCATCGCAGGAAACAACTTTCTTCCCAATTCGGAAGCGCTAACCAATATACATAGCCTTCAGTTATGCAATAGATATAAATGCGTCAGAACCATTGAATTATTCCGAGTAATCAATGCTAGTATAGGGCCGAAATGAGCTTTAAGGCATTATCTATCCACTGGTACTGGACAACTTTTGTCGGATTCAAAATGCGAATAAATATTTTTGAATGTCATCTTGTGCGCATCCTCCATAAAACCTTTAGTGAGAATTTTCGGATATTTGTTGAAATGTCTAATATTGTCTTCCGCAAGAAGTTTTGTGCGTGGACATATATTATATATGTCCCTGTGTCTTTCTTTAATGTTAAAAGGTTTTTATGGCCACCCTCAGAAAATTGTATCTTAATGTACTTCTTTTAAATGACTACCTTTAATATCTAACTCTGTGATAATATTGTGTATCGGGGGACAAGAAGTCGTTTACAGGGCTCCTATTTGTACACACTTGGATTATCTCTGTTCTTTTTACACCATTCATCAAGCATACCATTTTTCGCCTCGTTGCTGACCCCGTTTGTAGCTAAGGCGGGATTTCTTAAAGGAGATCTACAAGACGAGCAAATGCTTCATTGCTGCCACACCTATAGAAGATTTCAGAATCACGAAAATAATTTGAGTTGCAGATTATGCTAAAAGTGATATGATCTCTACTTTTCGGAAGGTTCAAAAGCGTCGTTTTAAATGTCTGAGAGGGTGAGGTAGGTACAGAGGTACACAAATGTAATATATGAATTCACCAGAACGTGGAGAAAGAAAGGTTATACTCGCGGGTGTGCGGTAAGTGTTGAACGTAAGATGGATTAAGAGACGACATTCAACTTTGGGCGACTGTAGTTAGTCTATATATAAAACTGAATTCCGTTTAAGTTGCATTTCATTTAAAAGTTGCATATAGCGTCATAAGTATTTTGTTATCGAGTTGCGATTTGGGTTGTGAATTTTTGAATAAATATTTTATAATTCCGTAAAGCCGGAGATATCTGCCCAATATAAAGTCTATATTGTTTGAGTAAAGTGAACGTCACGTTTGCTAACACGCAATTTATTTCCCAACAGCAAAAAGCCAGCGCCAGGGCGTTGATATCTACAGTCTATGCAACTTTTCGCTTGACCAACTTTCGACAGAAGGCAACAGCCGGCCGCGATCCACAAAACTTCTTGTAAAATACCCCCTGAAGAACGGTGAGTATTTACTCGGGAATGTTTGTTTGCATCTTGGTACTTGGTTTATATTCCGTGTGCTCGTTAGGAAAGCAGGCAAACACATACATTACCTACATGTGCGAACTGAGATTGTGAGTTTTCTTATCGAGTATTGGAAAAAACAACGTTGGTTCCGAATAAGGCTCAGAAATATAAAAACATATGAGCATAAACGGTTACCAGCAGCAGTAGCTTTAATTCAGATATTGTTGCCGTGTCGTGGTATGCTGTATCACTGAGGGCTATGCCAGTATCTTGACCTTCCGTAATCGAAGTCATCTGATTTATGAAATTGGGCTCTGTATATTGACAGCCAGGAATTCATGCAAAAGTCATGACGAAATTGGACTTGGTAGGTGAGCATAAATTTGCTCTCTTTATTTTGATCTAATAAGTAGATTCAACCCGAGAAAGCCTTGTAATAAGGAAAAAA